GGGATTCAGACTCCAATGCCAGCTCGGTGAACCCTCCAGCAACCGCTGCACAACAGAAAAAAGACACATTCATTTTACATTGCTTCACCTTTTTATTTATTTATTGATGTTAATATTAGTTATAAAGATTGTTGACAGGTTATATGGCCTTATATAAACGGCTGTTTGTAAATATAACCCGAGCCGCCAGGCGAGGGTTATATTGCAAACAGCCGTTTATATAAGGCCATATAACCTGTCGACAATCTTTATAACGAATTTATAATACAGCAAACATCATTTTTAGAGGAATAAAGCGAGATTTCTTTATAAATCGACAGCAGCCGTGTATATAAAAATTTATAATACTGCACGTTTGTAACGTCGCTTTTCATTGGATAATCGTGACGTTTATATAGCTTTATATACACGGCTGTTGTCGATTCATGAAGAAATCTTACTTTTTTCTCTAAAAAAATGATGTTTGCTGTATTATAAATTCGTTATAAAGATTGTTGACAGGTTATATGGCCGTATATAAACGGCTGTTTGCAATATAACCCTCGCCTAGCGGCTCGGGTTATATTTACAAATAGCCGTTTATATAGGGCCATATAACCTGTCAACAATCTTTATAACTAATAATATAAACGTCACGATTATCCAATGAAAAGCGACGTTACAAACGTGCAGTATTATAATGATCTATATATAAGTGTTCTTCGTTGAAATTTCGAAAATTCATGAAGCCAAGTCATCAAAATGGGTTAATTTATATCAAAACATACACAAATGTGTGATATTTCGAACTTAACTCGAACAAAAGTCGGCGGGACCCTATGTAAACCCTGTGAAAGTCGAGTAAATCGAGTAAAAGTCGTGTTTAATCATACCAGACCGTACTAGACCGTACTTGGAACCGTACAACAGTCGTACGTATTCGTATGCAAATCGTGTTTAAACCTTGCTTGACCGAGTATATCCGTGCTCAATTCGTACATACTCGTGCTACATTCGAGTCTAATTCGTGCCAACTAAACCACAAGCACGGTTGGAGCTCAAAACTCGTACCAGTCAACCCGTGTATAACCGAGTATACCGTATGGGAATCGTGTGTCCAACCGTGTTTTGTGTGAGACGGGCTTAATTTACTTTTATTCTACCTTATTTAGATCAATTTTACTTTAATCTAGTCTGTAAATAATAATAAAATACATTCTTACAGGAAGTAAATTAAATGTTTGTGAGTAAAATGCATATACATGTACCGTATAAAGAGTGCAATTCTTGTAAATCTTAAGTAGTTTTGTAAGACCCATTTAAACCCATTATTGCTGGCGCATAAACACACCCTTATACAGATAATCTTTTTACAAACATATAAATCGTCTCTAAATTATATATTCATATACACTCCCATATTTTCAAATAAATACTTCCTTATTTTATACATGATCACGCCCATTTTCTGTTCATAAATACACACACTCCTCCGTTTTTTCATGCTTCAAATAATCGTGATAGAAATCAAACTTATTTTGTACAAATGATTATTGAATGAATGAAGCGATGTTTGGATCACATTCAATTTATTTCCATGATACTAGATTCATTCCTTAAACAAAAAATCAACCTGTCTCTCAGAATTCTATGCCTCAGAGATATTTCTTTAATTCGAAATCTGAATTTTAAGACAAAAACTGCACGATCGCAAGGTAAACATTTCCATTTTCATCTAGAATAAAACTTGTGACATGTAATCGTATAAATGCGTTAAATCATTAGTCAACCTAGCTGAAATGTTGTTTAGGCAACGCTGGATAATAAAAGCTATTTTTCTGTGTTTCGGAGGCACGGCGTCCCTGTGGTGATATAAAGTAACTACAAGATGGATTTTCTAAACATGGCGTGATTACGCTGATAAATTAACTATGGGATTTATTAAGGAAATCAACTCCCTAGTGGTAGAAGTTAACTTGAGCCTCGTTCTCACGGGGGAGTCCACTTCCTGTAAATTTACAGGCCAATTCAGAATTTTCTAATTTACCGCTTCCTTCAAACATTTCTGAATGTAACAGCAGTGGGCCTCATTTTCTCTCGTAATTAGCGAGCGGTATTATTCTAAAGGTTGTTCGTGTCCATTCGAAAGAAAGATCTCTTAAAAAGCTTCACACAAGTAAAATACGTACGTATACTTAAGTCATGCTGGAAAAATTAATTATCACAGACATTGCGATATATTTACGTTCCTTATTTGTACTTACAAAACACAGTGTATCTAGGTAATTTATCAAGTCCTTTTAAAGCGACCACCTCAACAAAGTTGCATGCATTTCTTCATTATTATGTAAAGGTAAAATAAGTTTTTCACTACCATAGAGATTGTCATATATACATGTAATGCCAAATGCGGAGTATAACAGTATTATTATATATTATATTATGTAATTCGGAGTATATCAGCCGTAGGCGGTGCGGATATTTGATGTTGATACATTTTCTTGTATATATTCAATTTTGTCTCGACAATCTGATTTTTTTAAAATCAAATTTCCAATATGCTTTCCTTTATTTCTTTATTTGTTACTATTACGAATTTATATTATCATTTCGTAAATATAATGGTAAATTTAGTAGCATCCTTATAAAACGCGTGCTGTGCATTGTGATAATCGGTTATTTCCGTACATTTACGAATCGATAATTGATATCTCGGAAAGTTTCGGCATGTTATCTACTAAGTCGGCGGGCAAATGTCGGAAATGACCGATTATCATCACGTGACTATAATCTATTCAATTACAAACGATTCGTGCATCTGCCACATTACCTACAAATGATTTGGTTTTTTTATTACTTAACCAAGTTTTATTTATCTTTGCCATAGTTATAGTTCACAATTTGAGAATGATTGCATCTCATTTCACTTGATCATCGTGCATATTATATAGCACTATTTACTTTTCCATTTTGTCATTTTTTTATTGTTATATCAGACATTTTTTGTTTGGTTTATTTTACCTTACTTTGCTATAAAATGTTCACGTTCTATTATAACTTTCTAGCTTGAACATACTTAAATGGCTTTTCATATCTGTTTATATATATCAGACAAAAACCACATTTTGAAATGGTAAAATGAGAAGAAAAAAATCACTTAAGGCAAAAAAGGATAGCATGCATCGAATTTCCTTTCATTAGTTCTTTCTATTTGAAATTCAAATTGATAATTGTGCCTATGCCAATTCTGAAGCATATCAGTTTCGAAGACTCAAAATTGCATCATTAGAAGAATTCCATAGAGACCGTGCTATAATTGGCCTGTTGTCGTTCGTGAATTTTATCGTACTGTAGAGAATTTCAAAGTTTTCCAAATTGACAAGGTATTAGCAGGAAATGTTCATACTGTCATAAATCATCTTTTATACATCTCTCGGTTCGTTTCTCTAAAGCAAAGGCAGGGGAAAAAATGATGATAGAATTTTGCAATTTGGAAAATATAACCATTTTAAGATATTGTGTTTTCGAATGTCTTTTTAAAAAAACAAAAAAAAAAACGGTGTGCGTTACTTTAGCACTACCGTGACGTGTCATTGAGATTTCTTATTTGCTCAGATACATGCCTAATATCTTAGAAATTTGTTGCTTGATACATATATTAATGCGATCCAAAATGTCATTATGTCAGTGAGGGAAATGTATCGTTAAAGCTTGTAAGATAAGTTGTGTTTCCCTCTCTTTGTCATTTATGGTGGTCAGTGCATGAGCTGCACTGGTAATTTTGCCTTTACAACGTCTTCGTTGTCACCTTTTTTACTCCCAGCAATTTGCCATTTGCAATCACGTTTTTCGCCTTAACTCTTTTTAAAGCATAGTTCAAAAAGGGCAAACTGTTATACTCGTACACAAAACCAGCATAATTTTAATAAATTTCTTTGATTCACCATGTCAGTTTTGGATGAAACTGACAGATGCCGCACCTTAGGCATGATCGAAGCTGCTTTACAATTTCGTGTGCTTTAGAACACCGTAGACGCCATGTGAAGACGGTACCAACATTTTAGGACCGGCCAATGAGGTCCGGGCATAACATCTTATCGCGAGCATGCGTACATCCAGGTCATTCATTGACTTGAGCGGCTCAGAATTGCTATTTGGTGGGAAGATGTATTCCTTGCCTAAGAAGAATTAGTTCCTGAACGTTACGTCATCGATTGCCTATGACCTGTTTTGCAGCAACGTCGTCGTGACTCATGTAATGGCTGGTGTAGACGGCAAATATACTTCATGCAATAGAACAAGGCACGTGCTCTATTCCCCTCGACAGTACAAGTCTCTGCATAAGTCGTTCTAGAGTGTAAGGTCGCGTGGATTAACATTCGCATTACAGTTGTGTGATCCAGAGACGCCCACAACGTCGCATCCAAAATCAGCCGTTGACGTTACCTTACCTGTCACGTGTGAGGAAATAAGGACTAGTATTTTTAATGCATTTTCCAGCCCACTTGTTATATCAATGAAGCGTCGTTGTCAAACATACATTGATTCCGATAGAGGACATTCACTGTATTGATGAGATGAACTTTGTTTAGCGACCGTCTGTGAAAACTGATCTTTATCCAAGACGCTGCTAATGCAATAACCATATCATTTGAGATAGTGTTAAATGAAGGTCAAATAAAATTCTGTTGTTAAGTTTTTGGCGATTTTAATATATTCTGAGTGAGGGTATATGCTTGGGGACATTGTTGTGCTCCGTATGTACTTATAAAAGACACAAAACAGTCACTACCATTTTAAACTCGCATTAAAATCATTATGAACATCTTCAAAACTCAAGTGTTCGATACATTTATATTCTACATATAAATGTCTTAGTCTCTATAATTGAAACATTCTACGATGATTTATGTTTTTATGTAGTCTATTAATGAAACCGTAAACAAAGAAGAGATGGTAGATAACAAGAGTTTATAATTTTGTTACATTTTTTAAAAACTTTTTGTATGATTTTATTTCAGGTCAGACGACGAGTAACAAAGGCGATGGTAGCAGGTCCGGTACACCGTTATCCCATGTATCTGGAGGTTCGAGCATAGAGTCGGCGGAATCTCCACTTCCGGATCTAGATCCAGAACAAGTACCGTGTCACATCGGTGTTGATGACCAGCATCCGGTACCATGTCGATACTGTGAAAAAGCTTTTGCGAAGAAATCACTGTTGGAAAAACATGAACAGGTGAAATATAATAAATGTTAAATGTAATAACCTATTATTAGCGACGCGCGCCTTTTGTAGTCAGCGATACACTGGTTAATTTCTGTGTGACAGAATATAACAATCAGTCCCAGGTGTATTTATGTTTATTTATACTCACCGACGGTTGCCCCATATGGGCGAGTCCTCCAGAAGAGTATTGGTCATTTTAGATTTTGAGGATAGTGCAAGATATAGCAAGATAGGCTTCTCTTGGTTTTTTACCAAGTGTTAAAGTACGAGACCTCGATTTGAAGTCTCATCCGAAAGACTGTTTTAGTAATTTAAGTAAGCCAGCCCGAGAATCGAACCTTCAATGGGGAGATTACAAGTCTTGCACTCTAATTGATTGAGCTATGGGACTGGCGTTATCTTTATAGACGCCACAGGCTTTATTTATTTATTTAATTATTTTTTAGGATAATGCAATAGATTCAGAAGCTAGAAACAACTGTTTTTAGCGTACCATTACTCATGTCCTCAGTTTTTTATGGTCTCAAAATGCCAGTAATACCGACGCATGCACACACGTCATGTGATAATGTAATAAACTCTTCACACACATGTACTTTTGATCTACATTGCATATAAGTAAATGTTTACAAAAAATGATATGTGTAACCAATCACTTCCAAACGACACAAAATCGTTTTGTTTTGTTTTGTTTCATCATACTTTGCTGAATTTTTTTAAAGGTTTCCATTTACTGCTAATTGTCAATTTAGAAACGGTTTAACATTTCCGTTCGAGACTAATCCATAGATTAATTAATCAAACAGAGTTTTTTTTTTAATGTAAAAGAATTCCGCAAAGGACACATAATATGAAAAACAGTATCAAGAGTAAAAAAGTAGCCGATAGGACATCGTTGAATACGTATTTCAGACCGACGTTCATGCTTTTAAAAGTTCTTTTAAAGCAGCTGCCTTGAAACAGTGGATTATGAACAACACCATAGGGACACATGTTAGTCTGCAGTTTTATACAGAAAATTGACAACTTTGTACTTTGGATATATTATTTTATTTATGTTATATTCTTGCACATGAAATATGTACCTGTTGGCAGTCTATCCGTTATGCAGGCAATGCGTATCTTTATTGTAAAGTTGCGGCTGTAAGGAGGCCCGTGTATATATTATAAGTGTGTTCTGTTTACTAGTAAACCATTAAATACAATATGATTGAGATCAGCATACATGTACATTATAAGAATATAGAAATATGTATAGATGATCTTTATACTGACAAACATCTTCTTACATTTAAATTCAAAGCAAAAAAGTTTGTATCTAACTTAGCACACTTTTAGTGTCATTTATCTAACACTGAGTGATGGAACTGAAAGAAATCGGCAATTTCCGTGACCTCTCGCCCTAGTTCGGCATTCTCCGGTCATTAACTGCAAAAATAATACATTCTGCATTAACTGGCTGTAAAAATATCAAAATCATATATTAAACAAATTTTAATCACGGGCAATTATCTTAAATGAGTTGTGACCCTTTTAAAATGTTAGACAAGTTATTAGATTGAATAATTTTACACGGTGATAACTATTGAATCAGAATACGATTACCACTTTATTGTTATCGGTTGACTAAAATTCTTTTTTTTAATATATATTTTTAAACTTTATTCAGGTTCACACAGACGTGCTACCATATAGCTGCACCGTGTGCTCGCGAGTGTTTAGAAACAAGAAAGCTCGAGACAGGCACGAGAAACTTCACCAAACAGAAAGAATACATAAATGTGTAATTTGTTCAGCTACATTTCATAGGTAAAGTTTACACTCACTTTCAACTAGGAGAAGAATTAATGAACAAGCACTATTTTGTGGCGAGTCAGAGGCCCTTTACAGTTAATACATACGCACGGGTGCTTTTAAAATCTAAGAAGCATTGTATTAATGCTTATTTGACATTGTTTACCTAATATACATATATTTGGGGATATATCAATTTTTTCATGATGACCACGTTCCTGTCCTCAAATTTTACGTCGGCGCATGACCGCTCTTAGTTCTCACATTTACGTCAACCCCTGACCGCTCTTTGTTCTCTTTATGTAAACATGCGACCGCGAGTTGTCCTGACTTACGTTTACACGTGGTCGTTTTGTCCTCACTTTATGTGAGCTCGTAACCGCACTTTGCACGCATGACCGCGCAAGACTCATATTGCACTTGAATAATTTTTCACAATATGGCGTTATACTCGTGCTTAGTGATTGACTATAGACTTTTCATGGTCAAAATAGGTTATTAGACTTTTTTCGCATATAGTCACATAAAGATAAAACGTACTAGTATACCTTAATCTTCATCTCATTCAATTGTAAAGAACTGCACTTTGCGCAATATCAAATTTTTTAATCATAAGTTGTGATTTACATCTTTTATGCCCCCCTTCATATTTCATAAGTTACTTTTTGATCAATTCCATTTTTCCAAAAACATATTTTCTTTATGACATGTGCAAACGTACAATTTATAGTAAGTTATTTCAGAACTAATTTCAGATTAAAAACCTCAGATACATTTAGATCATATTTAAGAAATATAAATGCTAAATGTTAATAGCTCCTCTGGAACATGCTTAAACTTCTGCGTAGATAAAGGCGGTTTCATTTAAGTTTAGTTTGTAAATGAATAATGGTATTTCATTTCGTTACCAGCTTTCATTTCTGGAAAAACTGCTAAGTGAAATATATGTTCCGATATACACTCTGTACATAGAAGGCGAACGTAATTACACCGCAGGGAGGGGTCTAAATATTACTCTGGCCATAAATTCTAGAGACAGTGTAGTTGGATACGTCTGAGACACCGAATTCATCTTGAAAATGCTTCTTCTCTGATTTCCCGTGGGGCCGGGGAGATTTTAATGTACCCCAGGTGACCAAATTGCATCAACTGATTATAGAAACAGCTCCAAAATTCCAATGAAATTATCGAAAGAGGAGCGTGACTTACCGTTTTAATGGGCGAATATTTCATCTCGAAAAGAAACAAGGACAATAAGCCACACACGGCAGTAAACGATTCGGGAATTGTAATGTAACGTCTGTAATTGGCTCAAAAGATTTGTTGTCATTTAAGCGAAGATGATATAATATAAGAACGCATATGTAATAATAATAAGTGAAGATCGAGTTACAATATATAAACGAACAGGGAAATCACAGTCGTATTATAACTGATGCAGGAAATTGTGTTTTATGGTTGATTCAAGCTTGGCTGCCCACGTGGGAGCAATACAAATTCTGTAAAAGAGTTATATAGTATCATTTTTCTCCGTATTAGTAATAAAGCTCGTCTGTAAAGTGGTAAGATACTTAGTTAGTATTACTAATTGTGCGTCACACGCATGTTGTTTAGAATTTAGATTAGTAATTTTAAAGATCTCTCTAATCGAAACAAGCCACGTGGTGCTGACGTAATAAGCCACGTGATGCTGCTATGCACTAGGGTTTAACAAGTTTTTTTAATTATAATAAAGTAGGCGTTTCTGGAGACAGATTTGTGTATCCGTATTAAATATTAAAAACTAGAAACAAGTTTCTGAAATTATTGCGAAATTAAAACCGTTTCACAAGTGTTTTCACTACGCGAAAAAAAAAAACACCGAGTTATTATTTTCTTCACTTGACATTTAAGATGATAAAATTTGTAAAGTAACAAAAAAATGCTTTCCTTTGGGGGTAAATTTCATTTTATTTTTCAAAAATATTTTGAAATATACATTAAATTTTGAGAATATGCGCATTAAATGTTTGTTAATTTTTGTTTAATGTCGCTGCATGTTGCCAAACACTGTAAAACTATCAAATACAACGGGAAAGAGCATAATAATTATTGTTTTGTTGATAATACTTGGTGTAATTTTTCAAATTTAATAATGTTCAATTACAAATAACAAATACATACAGTATATCATTATATTATGAAGTTTGACGTTAAATATGTGTAAGTTCATTACCAAATTTATTGAACTCGTTGAATAAAATAATATTAGGAACTTACACGTATTTAATTTTCTATTTATCACATACCAAAAAAAAGAGACCGTTTGAAACGAAAAAGAACCATTTTTTTCATTGACTCCCTATAGTATATAGCGTGTCTTAACGTGACGTCATGTCAAAATATATGCACAGCCGTGCAATACCATTTTACAGAGTCGTAAAAGCTGCACGGGTATGTGATAGATAAGGTTATTTACTGTAATTAACAAATAAAATCCCCCTTTCCCTCGTACTGTTGTTAGTGACTTCATTTCAAATGTAGACAATTACTTCAGTCATAAAGCCCTCACTCCATGCTTTTTCATATACGATGCAATATAAATGAACCAGTGAGGAACGTACCGGTATAAAATTCTTGTTATTTAAAAAAAAAATACCCCAGTTATTTCCCGCTATAAAGCTGTATGCCCCTAGATGAGCCAAACATTAAAACTTTTCAAGAAAGTCAAACTCTAGAAAAATGTATTAAAATATGCTTTTATGAAAAGTAAAAAGATTCAATAAGCAAGTAAAAATGTGCATGTTATGTGCGATTAATGACTGATTTTGTAGTATTTTTCATCATATTTCTACTGCGTGACTACGCAGTAATGGTTATTTTTGCATATTCTGGCCTCTAGTTTTTGGTAATGTACGTAGATTGTAAGTACCCTTTGCATTGTGTAAATAACTTTCTTTTTTTACGTCACATTTTTTGACTTTTAAACACATTTTCAAAATTTTCATGAAAATTAGCATGAATCTGGAGGCATCATGCTTTAAAGTGTATAGAGCTATATATATTTGCTGCAAAAATTATATAAAGATTGTTTTATTTTTTCTAAATACTTCTGAAATAAATGTGTTTGTATATTTCTTTTAGAGCAAATAGTGCGCACACAAACAGTGCTTAACGGTTTTAAACCTACTTGAAATAGTTGCATACTATTTTGTTAAATATTCACGTGTGTTGAAAAACAGAGACATTCTATGTAACAATTGTTTCGCGAATCTACTATGATATAACGGAAGCGACATAATTTTACTGTTTATAAAGTCTATAAAAATATTTCATAAGATACAGCTGTATATCAATTAAGGCCAACATTTTTGGGGTGTTTGCATGGTATAATCACTTAAAATTTAAGTTACTGAAACCGCGCGTCTAAAACTAAAGCACAATTTGCCCAAGTCATTTAAGAGTAGGTAAATGATTTCTTTAACTACGTTCGGATATGCCGGGTGTACTGATATGGTTTATAGTCGTAAACAAACTTTTATATCGTTTTAAATGACAATTTAATTGAAAACATAAATCTCGGTATAATTGTCTAAATATCTTAAGTGAATTTGCCAAATCAATTTGAAGACAAAACTACTCTGAACGATCAGCACGAGAAAGCTGATACTTTTAAAACTCCCATCAGACCAGGATTATTTCAAGCCTTTATTGAATTTGATGTTATGACTCCCAGGGGACACGACTCCATATGACAATATTATTTTATGAAATATATAACTTTGTACGGTATGTATCTGGTTAGAAGAAAATTTTAAATCATTAAGAGCTATTAAATTAGCCGTTGGATAAATTGATAAATATTCTTTCCGTGTCTTCAGGGAGTTATGCAAAAAACTTAACGCTTTGATACTGATAGTACATGTATTTCTTTCTCTATTTTCAGACCAGAGCATTTAAAAAGTCACGCGCGGGTACACGAGTCAGGCGAGAGTTATCCCTGTCAAACATGTTATCTCGAGTATCCGACCATGGCGGCGCTCATGTCACATCAGAACGCTCACAAGCCTAAACCAAAATCGAGCTCCCCTATGCCCGGACACTCTTGTCCAGATTGCGGTGATTTATTTTTCACATCCGCAGAAAAAGAGTCCCATATATGTTCTGAATTCGGCGCGAAAAAGACATTCCAGTGTCAACATTGTGCCGCCATATGTGTTGGCCCTACAGCATTGGCTCTTCACACTGAGCATGCGCACTCAGGATCTGGAACCGAGCAAAACAAGTGTCCACTTTGTTATAAATGTTTCCTAAATATAGACGAACTGACAGCCCATATGAAGGTTCATGAATTATCAGACGGAGACAGAAAATCATTGCTTGGAACTCAAGACATGTCCAGCCTTGACTTTGGAGCAGGCTTTCTTGGTGGGGCAAATTCGCTGTGTCCAACAGATATATTAGTATGCCCGTATTGTCTTAAAGATGACTTTGAAACTTTGGAGGGCCTTGAGTTACACATGCAGAGTGTGCATTCAGTGAAACCGACAGAAGTATACACATGTAATTACTGCAATGCTCCTTATAAGAACTTATACAGTCTTCATGAGCATATGAGAGCAATTCACCAGAATCAACCGAGCATGGGAATCAAATATCCTTGTAGCAGGTGTGGCAAGGAATACCCGAGCATTGAATCATTACAAGACCACAAAAAGAAAATGCATTTTAAACCCAAGCATTCGGAAAATGTTATGTCTTGCCAGTATTGCTCTCTCGGGTTTACAAGCTCGTCCGTTTTGTATGAACACATGCAAACAGTTCATGGTGACAGAAAAAGAAATGAAGACATAAAAAGTCCTCAGGTCAATTTGCACCCACCAAAGACATCTCGGCAGTCTATTGAAAGCAAAATGAGTGACCATTTCCATGGCTATTCTGATTCACATACAATTATCAACGTACCAGAGCCTTCACAAATACTTCGTCACCTAAAAACACCAGTTCGATCCCCTGTCAAAGCAAGTACAAGTCCTACAGCTACAGTTCACCATGGACCTGTTTCATCCGGGCATATTTCTATGGCTTCACCGAGTAGGCCGCCATCTAGTGGCAAGAGTGATTTGTCACAGGAGAAGATAACTTGTGACCAGTGTAATTCGAAGTTCACGGACATGACGAGCTACCAGACACATATGAAGATACATATAGACTCAGTACTTGGTCAATATTCTTGTCGTCAATGTAACAAGGTATTTACATATTAATATTTACATTTACGTCATATTGCTGCAATAATATTCCCTTTTTGTAAATAGGCGAGTTTTTTAACACTATACGTTTATACCATGTTAAGTTTCCCAAACGAATTAGCAGTAATAATATATTCGATAAGTACAAATATTTATAAATATTTCTATGGCAGTTTCATGCGTTTCCTTTTCAGCAGTTTTGCCTTTCAGAATACAATCTAAAAAATAACGCTCTATATTTTCAGCTATTTTTGTCAGAGGAACAGCTAGAGTCCCACCTATCGATGCATTACCTTTCAGCATCGTCCGAGTTTGGTTGTTCCAGTTGTAACAAAACATTCAACAAACCAGACGAGTTACAGAAACATCTGATGGATATACATGCCCATCATTTGTACAGGTGCTCCCTATGTAAAGACGTCTTTGACTCTAAAGTCAACATTCAGGTAAGTTGTTCTAAGTCCATGAACAGACTCAATCAAACCGAGCCTGCAACATTTTTTGATTTTGCCATGTTCGGCTCTCTTTCCGGATTCTTATTTTCGCTCTTTTTTGAAGACTTATTTTGAATTCCGTATACGAATTTTTTATCTAATATTGTTTTCTTCGCTTAGACAGTAGGAGTAGTGTAGGAATCGTATAAATGATGTCCAAGACAAATGTTCTAATAAAGCATTAAAGTTTTTTCTTTTCTTCTTCTTTTTTCTCTTCTTCTTCTTCTTCTTCTTTTTATTCATCTTCTTCTTCGTCTTCTTTTCCTTCTTATTATTATTTAAGTCAATCATACGATTTTAACATAATATCGCATTTTATTGCCTACTGACTTTAAGTTTGTTAAGATATAGTTCTACTTTAAAAAATAGTGGCATAAACTATGAACTGGTCTTTAACCAACGTGTCTCCGGATCAACCTCGGCAAACGCCATGTCAACTTAGTCGTCATATAATTTTTTTAATATTAAATAATGTCATGTGTGTGTATTACAATAGAATTTTATTTTCATTTAAGGTCCATTTTGCTATAAAGCATAGCAACGAGAGTAAGTTGTACCGGTGTGTCGTCTGCGACATCCTCTTCCGGTCGGATACAGAATGGCAACTTCATCTGCGCGTGACCCATCTAAATATGGCAAAACCGTATAGGTTAGTTATTTATATTAAAAAATATGTTTACTGACCTTTTTATCAAGATATTTTATTTTGTAACGAAAGGAAAATTCTCTTTCCGCAATATTACTGAAATGCAAATTTAGCACAAAAAACAGCCACACTTCCTTACCTAACAAAGTTTATTTCTGTATTTAAAGACAGAACTCGCTTCTTTAATGTCGAAGAAGCAGTTTGCAAAATTCCTTTTCAGTAATTAAATGCGCGCTAGTTTTCACTCTTGAGACATACAAACACATGTCATATGTCATGGGAATTTTTACTCTGAAATTCGCAGCAATTAAATAGACGAAATTGCGCTTTATTATTTCCATTTACTTCACTCGATACATTAAGAAAACTTTATGAAATGAAGAATTTTAATCGAACAAATTATTTCTATGAATTTAATTCATTTATGCCAACAGATGTTTATTCTGTAAAGAGTCGTTCAGCTCAGAGATGGATCTTCAATGTCACTTAGCAACCCACAACAAACCATTTAAATGTTCCATGTGCGAGGAAACATTCTTAGTAGAGTTTCTGTTAGACAAACACATACAGAATGTACATTCGGCCATTCCGGGGTCAGAGACAGCGCACGATTCACAGGAAAAAAGTCCTAAAACAGTCAGTGTAAAGGTACAAAAGTGTTTAAATAAAATCAAGGAATTGTCCTTGTCAAACATTGTTAACATTTGTATTTTTTTCTTATGAATGATTCACTCACTTTGGAAATATGAAATAACATCGGGAAAAACTCTTTTAATTTAATACCTTTTTAAATCTACTTAGTAAATTATATTGACACAAATTACATTATAATATTGTTTGTTTAAAGATCTTTGTGAAACATAAATCACTACTTATATAGAAAGTGTTTGATATTATACAAAATCATAAGCCAAGGCGTAGAAAAAAAGGAGCTTAGACCTTCATTTTTTCGTGCCGAGCGTGATAAACTTTAAAATATCAAACACTTATTTGATTTTCTATTTATCATGTTTTCAATTTAATATGGGTTTCTTTCTTTAAACTTCAAATGAAACCTCTCAGGTTCACGCCGCGCGAAGTAATATGCTAAGTGTCACATCGATAGGAAATAGTCCCGAAAATTTTTAGTAATTAGCAGAAATCAATGTAGTGACATAATAATAATCACTATATGCATTTTGTTTCGGAAAAAGTTTAAATAAAAATGTATGTATTATCAGGTTGAGAAAGATACTGGTATAAATGCGAAACAAGAGCAGGGAAGCAACTCAATTTTATTCAACTCGCTGCTGTCATCAGCCGAGAACCAATCCCCGGTCCTGACAGCAGGAAGCGCCACTTTACTCGGAGAGGGAAGCCAACTCTACCAAAATATTTGTGGTGTCACTAACAGCGGAATTATTAACGATTTATCTAGCAGTATGTACCAAGGTTTAAGCCCGGGAAGCACCGGAAGTGGATCTATGGTTTGGAAAAGCCCGGAGGACCTTTATAGATGTAACATTTGTGACATTAAATTCAGCCAACTGTCTGGACTGCAGGTTTGAATAATTTTAGAATGTCTTGTCGCAAATAAATCTGCATGCTTCCAGATAAGCCAAACTGTTTTTAAAAATAAATTTCAGAAAAAAGTGTGTTAAGATTTCAAGAAAAGTGAAAAGATTCAAGATAAAAGTCATAATTTTCATGTTATGAGCGATTTGCAGTATTTATCACCATATTTCTTCTATCTAACGAAGTTATGGCTATTTTTGCATATTTTGACATCTTTTTAGTAATTTACGTGGTCTTTAAGTGCCGTTTACAATGTTTAAATTCTTTTCTATGTTCCCTTAACAATATTTTACTTTAAAATACATTTTTTTTAAAAAATCACGAAAATAAGGATGAATCTTGAGGCATGCTGCCTTAACTGCTCACAAAGAACTTTTTTTTAAAAATATCAGATTTAACATCTTTTAAGCAAATCTATTATACAAAATTCATTGTTATTGATTGATTAGTATCATTACAAAATACAAGTGATTCAATGAATGCTTTTTATCAGAAGTTGAAATTGACAGGAAACCTAACCTACAAAGTAATGATAACTAATATGAAAGTTTTGATAACTTATATTTGATTTATGATAACCTATATGAATGTAATGATAACTAATATGAAAGTAATGATAACTTATATGACAGTAATGATAACTAATATGTAAGTAATGTTAACTTATATGAAAGAAATGATAACTAAAATGAAAGTAATTATAACTTATTTTAACTCCAAACTTGCTTGATAGTTCTATTTCTTAATGAAAATCATGTAGCTTTTAGTTTTCTCGGCATGTATGTCTATCAGTTACAAATTTTAATCTGTTGCGTTATAGAATACTTCGGGTATTAAATTGCTAGATTGCTTGAACAAGGCATGAAAGCAAAAAATAAAAACAAATAAAAAAAAAACTTAAATGCAACATAAGACCGTTGAAAAAAAGAGAAAATTTCATGTGACATAACGATTAACAATCAAATTTTTTATCCTTTTCAGAGCCATAAACTTCAAGATCACGGCCTGAAATTTGCATCGGGAAAGTACAGTCCAAGCTCGAGCCCAAAACTGAACAGTATTGATAATGGCGAAACAATCACCAGTATGTACAACACCATGATTTCCCGCCCCAGCTCTGAATCAAGCTTCTCGTCAGCAGACAAACAATCATCTTTGTTACAAGACGCTTTGACATCATCGTATGTTCTCCCGGCCAGTATCGCATCAGACGCGCTGATAGCTGGAAATGCATACACCGAAAAATTAATTTCGTCCTTTGGGGAGAAAATATGCATGGCGTGTCCTTTTTGCAGTCAGACATTTAAGTGTAAGGCTGATCTGGAAAAGCACAGTAAAATCCATTTGAACACGGGTTCACAGAAGTGCAACATTTGCGATGAAGTTTTTGCGAGTTCCGGTATACTTGCAGAGCATAAGCTGACACACTGTAAAATACAGCAAGGCAACGTCTGCGTTGCTTGTAAACTTTCAATACGGAGTGAGGATCAATTTTACCTCCACTCACAAGAGCATGGCTTTCAAGGGGCGGTAATGCAGTGCATCGTATGTCGCCAGACGCTTGCTTCAATGTTAGAGTTACAGATGCATGGTAGACACCATTTCCAAAGTAAATCCTCCTTTCATACGTGCTGTGTATGCTTGAATAGTTTCGAGACAAGTGAAAATTTGGTTTCCAAAATAAACAGCTCCGGACGGACATACTATGTATGCAAACCTTGTTACCATGGAAACTCTTCAGAATTTTCGTGCAACCAGTGCAGCGCCTCGTTTTCATCTAAATCCGGGTTAGAGCTTCACGAGGCATCCCACAAAAAGTCCTACCAATGTATTAAATGTCAGGAATCATTCAGCAGCGAGTATGAAATTCAAATGCATGTAGCTACACACATGATGACGGAAGGCAACGTGCACGAGTGTTTCTTGTGCTGTGTCATTTTAGATTCTCCTGCCAAATTACAGTGTCATTTGATCGAACATACCTTCAAAAAATCAGAATACAAATGTAGCGCATGTGGGCGTGACTTTAAATCCGCTATGGATATCCAAGCGCATGCGCTAGAGCACGGCGTCACAGCCAGGCGATTTGCCTGCAACCAATGTACTCAAAGGTTTTTCTTCAGTGCGGAGCTAGAAAACCACAAGTATTTGCATAAAATGAAATCTGATCAAATGGGAAGAGCAAATTCGTCTACAAACAAATCTCTTACTATTCAGCCGTTAAACACAAATACGCTTGATTACCTTTCTACAAGTCCAGCATCTTCTCCAATGGAGCACATCTCTAGTAAAGTAAGTCACCACTCGAAAGCAAATTCCGACGACGGGTTTCATTGTTCCAAATGTGAGGCAAAGTTTTCAGATGTATTTGAACTAGCAAGTCATTACAAGGAATTCCACAATGATTTGGAGAAGAAAACACACAAATGTCCGACATGTCCCGAATGGTTTGGTACCGTGGTACAGCTACAAGCCCACTACTTTGCTAGACATGCGTCAAGAGAGCCAGACAAAAAACCCAAATACTCTTGCATGGAGTGTGGAAAAGAATGTTCCTCTGAGCATAATCTTTTAACCCATATGAATACACATAGAAAAGGTATTAAATCTTTTATTCATTCTTTAAACACTAATCAACATCTGTTTTATAATATGTATTAATATATATATTTTTTTACAAAAGCCAAATTTTTCATGTTTTAATGAGCAATATTCTCTTTGTGAAAGTTAATATATCAAAGTGAGGTTAAGGTGTGTGCCTCTCAACCCAGGTATTATGTGTTCGAGTCCTAATCGGTTTATAATCATGCTCCTTCATATGACAACAGTACTGGTTGGTTCCAGGAAGCTGACTCGGGAGAGATTTATGCAAGAACTTGTTTCGCAATCGATTTTAAATAAATATGTTTTAACTAAATCTATCAGGGACATGAAATGGAGATTACGTTGCGAAACCTTTCTGTGCAATTTTAGCTAGATTCATGTTTAAAATAATGTTGATACTGCATATTTGTCAATGCAGAGTGATCCGTTTTCTTTTCAATTTAATTGGCTTTAACGAACGCACACATTAATGTTTAACATTTCGTTTAGGAAGCAAGATAACTTGTCCAACATGTACAAGGTCATTTACATCATCCAGTGGGCTGTCAGCACACATGGCCGGACTCTGTGGACAGAAACAAAGCCACGAGTGTCCTGTTTGCCATAAAACGTTTACAAGTAAGTTATAAACATTGTAGAATTTATATTAAACGATATTTTAGATATTTTGATATTTTAGATATTTTGACGAGTTCACTTTATTGAAACGATGAAAGTATATACTGCACGTTTGTAACGTTGCTCTTCATTTGATAATCGGGACGTTTATATAGTTTTATATACACCGCTGCTGTCAAATTCTGAAGAAATCTCTATTTTTATCTCTAAAAAATGAAGTTTGCACTTTTATTATTCCGTAATGAATATTCCTGATAGGTTATATGGCCATATAAAAAGGTTGTTTGCAATATAACCCGAGCCGTGCGGCTTAGGTTATATTTCCGATTTACCGTTTATATAAGGCCATATAACCCGTCAAAACTCTTTATAAATAATAACATAACCTGCTCATCCCAATTGTTTGTGTATATGCCATCAGCGCACTTGTGGCGCTGAGGGGTTGCCTTTAAGGGTTGAGGCATCAGACTTTAAGCCGCCGTTAAAACCTGCGTGGTCGTAAGTAGCGAGTAAATGGGTCTATGCATTGCTTAGCTCCAGCAGGTGAGATGGTTGGGACCCCTGGTGTTGCTTTTAAGTTTGAAGCACCCGAGGTTAGCCAAAATAATCTTTCCTGTTTCGGCGACATACTACCTAAATTGTGTTGATGCGCCGTAAAACCAATCAAAAAGTAATATGCTATCAGAATACCAGATGATAATAATACTCTATGCGTGATTTCAGAATATTGGTACTCAAATACCTGAAAGTTAATGAACTAGTTTAATCACCAATTATCAGAAATTAAAACAAAACAATCTAATTGAACATATGAACATATACATATATGATAATAAAAAACAGTTCGATTAACATATTTTTTATAGTAAGAGACAAATTGTTAAGCTTCATGGGATGTGGAATAAAAAGGACTGGAATGGGACTTAAAAAATCGTCCGGTTTTGTGGGAACCCGGTATATAAAGAGTACGGATATCAGCTTTTCAATGTCTATTATTTTATTTTTTAAACTTAAATGTACAACATGTTGTAAATGCTTATCTTTATTTGTTATTCAGAGAAGAGTAATAAAATGGAGCACATGAAAACTCACAGTGGTGATAAGATATACCCGTGCACATCGTGCGGTAAATTGTTCTCAGGAAGGGCAACTCTGGACGAGCACATGAAAATACACCAGGTACTTTACATAACCATTGACATCATAAAGTTGACTCAAACTAGTGTTGATGTGTTTTTTATAAATCTTGATATATCCATCCAAGAATCATTTATTGTAATACAAGTACGATAATTGTAACAAATTTGGTTACAAATGGTGAACTGCAATTTTAGAATTCTTACGTTTGTTATTAACCATATTTGTAATAACCATATTATGAAGATTTTCAACTGATTTGGCAACAACCAGAAACAAAAAATGGTTAATAGAACGTTTTAAATTGCGTTAAAGCGACAAATGTCTTAGCAAGAAGTGCAAAAATATAAATTTTATGTTCTACAGGAAGTAACAATTGAAGATGATCAGCAGGCGGAGTCAAGGAGTGGAACAAGTGAGGAAACTCCTCCCTCTCTGGGCAATGCCAGTGATGAGGATGACTCCTCCCACAACATCTCAGACGTCGAGAAAGACTGTATGAAACAGGAAGTGACTAGCACGAGCAATATAGCAGAAGATTCGAACGAAGCAAAATGAAACTTTCAAATGGTTGACATTTATTCAGTTGGCTTTGTGTTAAGGATTTTTCCTGTTTTTGAACAACTCTTTTGTATTTTAAAGTGTTTTAAGTTTTAGAAGCCAACAAGTTAAAACCAGCTTCGTACGATGACTCATTCAGGGTAACAAACACGTATTTTACTTTAGAACTCTTACATGTACAGTACATATTGTACTGACTAAACATAAGGACGTTCCTGTATATAATCTCAAAATTAAAAGAAATATACTTTATCTGTAATGCATTCCTAAAGATCTGACAAAGAGCAAGGTTCACTAAGCACCAAAAATGGCCCCATCTTAGATATTGATAAAAACCTAAAGGTGTATAGTACAATGTGTTACATTTTCAAAATTGACATTTATTAGGCATGTCTGGTTACTATGACGACATAATGACGTCATAATTAGAGCACCTGTTTAATTCAATTAAATCACAGATTTGACGACAACTTTCATACAAGACTTATAAATTTGTGTGTTTGACTGAATTAAACTCATAAAGATAGCAATATATTTCTTATATATTGTAAACAAAATTATAATTTAGTTAAAATTAGACTATTGTGTCACAAAACTAATATAAAAGATAAATGGGGCTCATTTCGGATATTCCAAATTCGGATATATAGAAATGAAAATGTGAATGCATATTATTTTTCGCCTAACTAAATGTATTTATTTTTATTTTTATAAATACTGTAAGTTTGTTCATTTTTTAATAATAAATGTCGAATTTGCTTGTTTTATTCATCTACCTCTTACCTAATGCTTAAAATAAGGATGTATAGAATCAATCGCAATTTTAACGGCCTTTTTAGTCAGTTTTTTGACAAGGACGTTGAACATAATAATAATAACAATAATAATAATCATTATTATTATTATTATTTAATAATAATAATAATAATAATAATTATTACTATTATTATTAAAACACAAAACAGATAGGTATTTCTGTCTAACTTAAAGCAGCACGCCTCCAGATTAATGCTATTTTTTGTGAAAATTTTGAAAATGAAATAAAATTTATATTATTTTATAGTAAATTAAAGAAAGCAATTTACACATTATCAATGACACTTACACCCACGTTCATTACAAAAAATACTCAAAATATGCATGAAAAGCCCTTACTGCCTTAGTAACGCAGTAGAAATAAGGTGAAAAATACTGCAAAAATCAGACATAAATCGTACATAACGAGAATTTTTACTTTGATCTTGAATTTCTTTGCTTTTCTTAAAATCTCAGTACATTTTTTCTCAAGTTTGATTTTATAAAATATTTTTGCTCATCTGGAGGCATGCCGCTTTAACTAAACTTACACTGAGTAACTATATACATGTAAGCAAATAGTTTGTAAATACTAGGAATTGTTGACTTATTCCAATGTAAAGTGTAAAAGTCCGACTAAATTAAATAAATTAATAGATATAAAAGTATGTTAGATTTTTTTTTTGTCAAGTAAAAATAATGTTTGACTGTATGCTCTTTCGGAGTATACGCAATATTTGATACTGAACTGCAAATTTGATACTATTTTCTTTTATGAATTATGATACAACCAAATCCAGAAAACGATTTGTGTTATTTATAATTATGGAAATCAGACTTTTATTACAAATGTAATGTAATGATTTATGACGATATGAGATCTGAGAAAAAACAAGAACTGTCACAGAACGTGACAAATGCCCCCGAAGGATTCTAGTTATAAACCACTTATTACATGTTAAGTGTGGTGGTAAAAATTGACAAAGTTCGAACCCCAGCAGTGAACTATATGTTATACAAAGAAACCTAGGTCTTGTTCACAACACACTACCCATCTATGGTGACTTTATATTTTTAAATAAAAATTGAAACTTTCATGTATATGGAAGTTACAGAGCGGATACACCAACCACCATTTATATGTTCATATATAACATAAATATTGAAAAAGTTTAAGCCCCAGCAGTGACCTTAAACTAAGGCGTAGGAACACGGGTCTTAAGGGCAACACATCATACATTTATGATAATTTCATATGTGAAATAAAAAATATAATCCTTTCATTCATATTAGTTTCAGAGCAGACACAACCATCTCTGCCTATATGTATATTAATATCAAAATTGACAAAGTTTGAACTCCCACAGTGACCTTGACCTAAGTCATAGAAACCAGTCTTGTTCGTGACACACCATACATCTATGGTTATTTCATATATGAAAGAAAAATTAAAACCCTTTCATGCATACTGAAGTTTTAGAGCGAACACGACCACCACTGTCTATATGTATAAAGCCTGAATGACTGACGGAATGACAGACTGACAGACAGACAGACGGTTCGATTTTAATATGCCACCCTTCGGGCGCATAAAAACATTTATTTACATGTAACCATAATTAATGTGACATAAAACAACCCTAAGTAAATTTTGGTTTATATCATTCCAATATGCCCTTACATCTATATAATGATTGTAAATTAAACATTTAACATAAAGAAGTCTACAATTAAAAATTTAGTTTAGCATTGTCTCTATTACTGTTAATTTTATCAATTCTCTTTCACACTGTATTGAATGGCTATCAATTTCAAAATACCGCTACATGGTCAGCAAGATTGTCAGCCCAATTTCTCACTCCTGACTGAGTCTCACCACTCCTCATGTTGTCCATATGCGAGGTACCATAAAACGGTGGAGACATCAGAACACATTTTTAAACTATGTACATGCACCAGCCGCAAAAAGGCAGTAATATGCATCAATGCTGTCATTCATGTAGATAATCCAATCTATGTAGTTATGGCTGCTTACATGTATGGTCTGCAATTTCGTGCATAAAATAAAAGGATCCTTTGTGTAAAAGGACAAGTCAAGACTTCCTGTGTAGTTATTCTGGGAAACAGCTAGAGCTTAATACCATGTTTTTTTCTCATCCTGGGAAAGTCTACTGAAGACATTTCGTCCGTTGACTCCTAACATATTTCCTGCTTTGGCAATTTCTTGTGAATATTTTTTAATGAGAATAATACTAAATTAATAAGATTTAAACCTTCTTGCTGAACTTTTAAGCAATTAAATGTCTAACAAATCTTTAATACCTTAATAACTATGAAATAGCATTGACTCATAATTCTAAAAAAAAAATGAAGGAATAAAACTTAATACATTAAGGAAATAACATATTATTTACTGAAAAAGTACTATCTATTTTATTATTTATGAAAACGATAATGAAAAAAAAAAAAAAAAAAAGAGTTCATGATCAAGGTTTGAACTCAATTCTCCTGGGTGAGAGGCACCCATGCTACCACTGAGCTAATGCAACATTCCACCATGTAATGACATCATTTAACAAGTAGTTTTACATATACATCAATGCAGACGATGTGGAGTTATAGAGTTTAAATACTCTACATACAGTATTTTTAAATTGTTTTGAGACTTGCAATCATTTTATTTTCACAAAGTAAATTGAATTCTTCTAATCTGCCTTTTAAAAGACATGAAAACCTATTAATCACTGTGCAGTTGTTTTTGTTGTTGTTGTTGTTTTTGAGGGCAAAAGAAAAGTAGGCTATTCAGCAATAAAATAGCCTGAACAGCATAACTTCTTTCAATGAATCAATAAAATTACATAACAACACCTTGCTAATTCTATGAATGAAATAATTATGGCATAAACATAATTTCAGCATTTCTTTATAAACGTTTACATTTAATTCTTTTAACCTGTCAGAGTTTTGTTTACAACCATTACAGTGGAAACCGTCGAACTCGTACCAAAACTTCATCGTACTCATTTTAGTGAAAGTGCCTTTAATTTACTAGAAATTATTTTCCTGCAAACTTTTATTAAAATATATGTTATGAATCATATTTCAACAACTTAGAACAAATATTAATAATGTTGAGTGCAATATACATGCTCCATGGTTTGCATTTAATGAAATAAATGTCAGAAAATGACGTTTAGATATTAGATAAAAATCTAATTTTGGAATAGAGCACAGGCAAGCCCCAACTTTATATTGATAGAGTTGAAGCCTTTGATACATTACAACACAATGGTGTAATGATTTTGTTGGGGCTCGACTGTGCTGATACTTTAATTTTCGTTTAAAACACCAAAAATACATGAATTTTCCTAATTTTGCTGGAAATAGGGGTATTTCCATAGAACATAAATCATACTAAATGTAAACATATGTCTTTAAATGCATATGTTTTTAACAATTTAAGGAATGAACTTATAAATAAAACTTAAAAACAAGAACTTTGCATCAAATTATTTTTTGCCAAAATCTTGGGCAAAAATCCATGGTTAGTGAACCTAGCTCTTTTGACTGGCTCCTTTCATATGACGTTTGTGATATAAAGGAGCTTTATTGACAAAGTCTAAAGTGTTTACTTGTGTTGCTGGCGACGAGTGAATCTATCCATGCGACATTGGCTTTACAAGGTACGCCGGCATACTCATGCTGTCTGATCATGGTCTGAACTGTTGGCTAGTTATTTAGTGAATATTTGTCCTTAAAAAGGAGATGAATTGTTTTGTCCAGATTAAAAGATGAACAAGTCCATGTAATGTATTCCCATTACACATTTGTAACACATTTGTAACACCAGTTAGCCACTTACAAATGCGATCCCATTCGTAACAGGTGTTACAAATGTGATCCGTTACGAATGTGGTCCAACAATGCTTTCTGGTCATAGTCTGTACTGTTTGCTACTAAGTACATATTTTGGAAGTTTTCCAAAAGACGATGAATGGTTTTGTCAAGATTGGAAGATGGACAAGTCCATTTAAGACAATAATTTGCCTTATAAGTCTTAATTGGGCTTCACAGGGAGAGACTTATTCGTTTTGTTACATACATTTATAGTATTAGAAATGGCATTTTGATGCATGTTAAAATTGGACATACAATTAGTATGTTTATATTCAGACTTGGTTAATTTTTTTAAAAATAATTTAATTTGCAATTGTTTTTTTTTATTCAAAAGTCCGTGATTTAAGTCTGTAAATGTTATCCATTTGTTTTGTTTCTTGTTTATTTAATGTAACACATGGTCAAGAAGTGCTTGGGGTACTAATTAAAGTAAAATATTAACGTATCAAATAACGTGCCATCTTATCATTGTTGTAAAGTATTGACTGTACATTCCTTCATGTGTTATGTTGAACTGTTTACGTAGTTTATATTGAATAAAATTGTGGAAAAAAATCAAACATATGTTATTATTTCTTCTTTTTTTCACGAATCATAGCATATATAGAAACTATATCATTTTGGCACAACAGTTTTGACTCTTTTACTTACAAAGATACAATTTCTGCCACGTGTTTAGCTTTATAAAGCAATGCTTATTGGCTAAGTTTTTGAACAAAGCTTCATATACTTACAGAAGAGCTATCCATGCAGCTAGATTACGGAACGTCGGTGGTTCTACTCATGTGCCTGTTCGATTTCGTTTCATGGCATTCGAGGATGGGTATCCTTGTACATATAATGAAACATACGTGACTTTATACATATAATAAGCATGGGTGATTATATACATATAATAAAATATGCATGACTTTTTACACTTAATAATCAAAGCACAGAAGGCGCTGAATTTGCTTGGGTCTCAGAATGTCAGAAAGGTGAAGGTTGTGAGATTTTCAAACAATTTGTTTTTGTATAGTGCCACCAATGCTTTCCAGCGTTTTAATTGTAGTAGATTGGCTATAAGACTAATTGCAACACTGATATTCAATCCAATGTTTATTTGACTTAAACAATTTGAAAAAAAATGAGTTGCCTTAACTGGGATTTGAACTCCAGACCTCTCGGCCACGGTGAATTTATATATTAACGGCCTGAAGAAAACCATATTATTCTAAATTAGGGGTTGTAACGACGCTAACTGTTGTTTAACACTTGTGTAAATAATCATGGCGCTTACTATAAGCATGTATATCTATAAGGAATAAAACAATATTAGAAATCTTCGACCATTCGGGAATTATTTTGCTTAAAAATCAATGCGCCTGTCATGTGACCATATTTACGCAGTGATCTCCCCTGAATTTTTCGGCCTTAGTGTTACATATTAAGGGAAGTAACCGCTTCAAAAAAGCGGACTACTTTCGGCATTTGCAATTAACATCATTAGAATCTGAAATTTCGCTACCATTATTTGTTTGGTCTGACGACCCAAACAAATAAAAAATGGATGACTCTCGATGTGATAAAATATAAGTGACCATACATATAATAAAATATGAGCAACTCTATACATATAATCCATAAAAGACTCTAACATAAGTGTAATAAATATGAGTGACTATAAATATAATAAACATGAGCAACTCTATACATATTTTAACATGAGTGACTTTAAACATTAATTAGAATATGAGTGACTCTATACATATAATTAATCCACACGCGACTCTAAACATGTAATAAAAGTGAGCGATACTATGCATACATGTATAATTTAATATGGGTGAATCTATACATGCAATTTAGTATGAGTGGCTCTATACATATGTTAAAAGATGACCTATAATTTACAGAGCGAAAAGCGGACAGTCCATGCAAAAAAGAACATTGGGATGAAATGGAAAATGGTTTGATATAAAAGTAGCTGTTGGCATCTTAAGGAGCGGAATCACATGCATTAGGACATTTGATTTGTTTGGTCAAAACATAAGATAAAGAATAATATCTTAAATATAATCTCACTTTAATAAACAAGGACAAAACCACTACTCAGTAAATGGTATATGTATTGTTATGGGATGCTGGCTAGAAAATTGTGCCCTTAAATATTAAAAAATTATTGACTAGAATGTGATAAATCCTTGTGAACGGAATCATATTCCATTGAAATACAGGAATATGCAATGAAGACAAACACAATTTAAATATCAGTTCATACCCAAATGAATTTGGCGAGCATATAATATGCAGATAAGTTAAAAGGTTAAGTATATGTATGTTTATCTGTATTCTATGTAAGATTACATATCACGTATCACATGCTATTATGATATATTTAATAGATATGAAATTTGTTTTTGGATCAATTTATACCAAACTTTTAAAATGAATTCTGACCAAACTTGTTCCATAATGTCTGTCAAAGTTATTGTGGTGCTGTATATAATGCTTGGATTTGCGAGTTCTTTTCTTCTCGTGAATTCAAGTGCTAACATAGGAGCCAATGAGTATAGGGATCTTATTAGTCTATTTGTCGATGAGAAAAACGCAAGGCATATACTTGAAAACAGACTAGATAAACTGGAACAATTCAACCTAGCAGTTACTAAGGAGCTTCAGAAAGACAAGAATAATCGCCAGCAGTTAATTGATGAAAATACAAAGATAATCAAAGATTTGGAAAACGCTACGAAACATCTGACAATCTTACAGCAAGAGAATGATTTATTAAAAGAAAAATATGTAAACCAAAGTTATGTTGTAGATGAAATGTTATCGAAACTTGTGAATGTCAGTGTAACCTCTTCAGAGCTATCAAAGCTGAATGAAAATTTGACAGACCAATTTCAGAGTTTGTCGAACAGTCAGGAGCACCTATTGAAGAATTACCATGTCTTACTTGACCAGTATTTAGCTTTCACTAGCCAAGATAAGGCCAATTTTGTTGAAAAACATGACTTTAACGAGGCTTTAAGTAGAGTTAATAAAAGCTTACTGTATGCGAATGAAAGCATTCACAACATAACTCTGCAGACGTCGCTGAATCGTGAAAAAATATTGAAAACAGGTAAATACTATCAATTTTTTTTGGCAATAAATACTGATTTCAATTCATTCAATGGCCTGAAATTATGAACATTTTGTGTATTATTTCTGTAACATTATCCATTTTGTTATTTCTTCAGCATTATAAATTATATGAGCCGTGCCATGACAAAACCAACATAATGGGTTCACGACCAGCATGGATCCAGACCAGCCTGCGCATTCGCGCAGTCTGATCAGGATCCATGCTGTTCGTTATCAGTTTCTCTACTTGTAATAGGGTTGGTAAGCGAACAGCATTGATCCTGATCAGACTGCGCGGATGCGCAGGCTGGTCTGGATCCATGCTGGTCGCAAACCCATTATGTTGGTTTTGTCATGGCACGGCTCATATGCCTTTTATCTTTTACAACATTTAGATATTCAGCTTGGATTCTCTTTGAGAGAAGTCGACAAAGCAGCCTCCAGAAAGAACCGGCTTAAATTTGAGACTTCACTTTTTAACACAGACCACGTGTTCAACTTGTCAACCGGAGAATTCGTCTGCACTCGAGCTGGTGTCTATTTCTTTACAACGACAATTGTACGTGAGCCTGGAATACTTCAATCTTACTGTGCCATAGGTATAACACGAAGGAATACTAATTATAGTATTTGGACACAGGCAACTAATGGTCAAGCGAGCAGTACTTCTGGATATGCGTCTGGTACAACTTCACTCCTGTATCATCTTAATGTTGGCGATAAGGCGTTTCTGTATGAATGCAATGGTATAGATCATATGTATTGGACTTCGAGTTTTAGTGGGTTCCTAATTTTTCCAGACTAAAGCTCAAGTAATTATCAAATCGGATTAAAGTAAATGCTGATAGAAATACTGAATAAAGATAAGATAATTTGATACCATTACTGAATAAAGATAAGATAATTTGATACCATTTAGAACTTACACATTTCCAAATGTTACGAGGGTTTATCAAGATGTTCGTAGACCTTTCTTCTAATTCTGTTTACAACAGGCCGATTTCAAAAAGTATGTATCTTTACAAACCACCACCTTCCTCAATATGATTTCATGAAATCAGTGGAAAACAAACTCGTTTATTGCCGTTAAAACGTGTTTATATTACCTTAGTAACGCGTCGACGCCCCCGCCGTTATAAGATACAATATCATAACTGGTAGAAAACAAAAAAAAATCATTGCAGATGATTATGGAGAACAGGACATTTGATTTTGATACTGTATCAAACAATATAAATTGGTTCAAAGTTTCAACCAACTGTTACCTAGGTGAATTTTTACGCATCGAAAGAAATAACACTTCAAGCCCGATTTTTTCGAGGACAGAATTCAAGCTGTTGCTACAGTCATCGTCCGTTCCAGTTGCAGTCCAGAAACTTTAACATCGGTCACAATTTCTATATTATCTTTTAATTGGTTGCCCTTATACATGTATGAGGACATCTAAAAATAAAGAAAATAAGAATCCCTAAAGAAAGTCCAATACCGCACAATTGAAAATGTCACAGGCTCGGTTTGAATGAGCATGTTCATGGACGATACTGTCAGGTGCAAACTATCGTCCACGGCCCCTAGCACCGGCTTAAGCACAATTCAACATTTAATCATGAAATGGTAAAATTTTGAATTTAAAACATCCGCGGTGGTTATCATGGAACCTTCAATGTGAAACTTCCGTATACCATTCTATGAAAAGCGTCGTATGTTCCCCGAGTAATAGACAGCGTGTGTCCTAAACGAAAAAACAATGGGTGGAACTAAACAAAATGGAACTTTGAGAGGGGAAATCAGAGGTTAAAAGCCTGCATATTACAGATAAGACGTCAAAAGACAAAGTTAAAAAGCAGGCTACATATCTTAAGGATTATTCAACATCATTCAAGTATAAACATTGTAATCAACCAAATAGAAAATCCCAATACAAATACAGCGGACCGAAAATATAACATCTCTGATTGAATGTACGGGCGAATTTTTACAGCCTCCACACGGCACAAACAACGCTGATGTGGCAAAAAATAGAGTAAATAAGAATTCATAAAGAAAGTCCAAAACGGCAAAAATAAAAATGTTGCAGGCTCGGTTTGATTGAGCCTGTTCATAGACGTTACTGTCAAGTACAAACTATCGTCACGCCCCATAGCACCGGCTTAAGCAGCATTCAACATTTAAACATGAATTAAGAAACATCAGCAGATGTGTTTATAAGGCGGTAATCATGGAATCTTCAATGTGACACTTCCGTGCCATTCCATCAAAAGCGGCGTATTATCCCGAAGTAATTTAAATATCAATACTTTGACAGTAAGCAATTTTTTGAGCTATACGTTCGTTTAAAATATGTCCACTTATGCTAAAAGTCTCCACTAAGAGTGACGAATACTGTTAACCATTATTCTTTGTAAAAAGATACCTGCAATAAAAAAAACTTCAATTTAATAAACGACACGCCATTTTTTCTTAACCTTTCCGCCCAGGGTCACTAGTCAAACCCAGAAGCTAATCAACTTATGTTCAACTTATTTCACACATACAGTACAAGATATTAAGTTATTTTGCAGGAATCAGCATCACACATAATCCAGATATTTTTTATATATTTCCACCAACTGTCATGGAATATTGAAGACATGGAATGTCGTGTTTAAGTGAGAATTAGTGTAAAATGCATCTATATATATATTCATGGCAAAGCAGTCGCCCCTACTAAACATATTTTGGTGATTTATTTAAATGGGTGCCCTCAATACTTCCACTGTAGAGCCCTCGACCAAAACAAAGCTGAACAGGTAAACACAGTTTCTAAATAGAATATGATTGTTTTCAAAAATCATAGAATGCTATGCCACGTAGAATATTTGCTTAGCATTTGAGATGACCGAAGTTTCGATACAAAATACCCTTTAATAAATTTGCTAGAATTAAATGTGTACCAAACATTGACTTGTGTGATTTCTTTTCCATGGAAATACATATATTTAGTGATTTCTCTACCGTGAAGTTAATGTCAGTCCACTTTATATATCAGGCATGTTCCATGATCCCAACCTCCTCTTTGGCTGTAAACAAAAAAAGTTCACAGACCTCGGTCAAAAATAAAATACTATAGCATTTATTCAAATAAGACCCAACCAGAAGAAACAAGGACGCCAGATTAGCCTCCTATTTTTCCTGTATGGCGATGTGCTCTTCTTTCTGTGTAATAAACTCTTCGAATTAGTTTTGTGCCTACCGTTAATTAAAATTCCGTTGCGGATAAGCGAACCCAAAAGGAAAATGGCTTGGAGAGTTCCTCGTGTCATTGTTTGTTTTTTTTTTTGACCGGTGATTCGTTTTTTCTGTTAATTGTCATTATCAAAAAGGAAAAAAGGAACATACTTTTTAGAACCAACCGTGTTAAACTTACCACACTTTGTCATATAAACAATATGTACAATGTGGTAGATTCTTATTTTCAACATTCACCAAGAACAAACTTCAGACAAATGACAACAATGTTTATAAAATTTAACTTAGCTACATGTAGCTCTATACAATTTCGTTCTTATAAACGTAATTATAGCCCTAGATTTCTGGCGCATACAATTAATTATGTTTTGCCAAAATTTTTCTGACTTTTTGATCTATATAAACCATACAGTATCGTCTTTGAAAATTCATTGTACTAGCAAAAGTTTTTTTTTAACTTGCAAAATTTTTATTACATTGCATTGCAATCATCTCTTGTGTTTCGGCCATATGAACTTTGGTGTTATTAAGAAACCTACGAAATCTAAATACTTAAAATATGAACAAAAGTATGTTAGATTCAGGACATAAAATGACGTATCCCAGCTTAAAAGCATTTTCATTTTGTTTCAAAACACCACCTTTCTGAAAACATTTTTTTCGTTTTTACTAAGTTTTCTTCACGGATTTATATTACATGTAATATAAATCCGTGGTTTTCTTTAATAATAATAATAATAATAATAATAATAATAATAATAATAATAATAATAATAATAACAATAATAATAATAATACTAATACTAATACTAATACTACTACTACTAATAATAATGATAATAATAATAATAATCTTTATTTAACGAAGGTAGCTTATTAAGACAATACATAGACAACAAATAATACAAAATCTAATTTTCAACAAGGCCTTCAAAAACATAACAATGGACATATCATAAGCAATTATAAAGATTACAAACATTCAGTAAATCTTTGACAACAAAGAAGACAGATTTTAAAGGAATAGTGCTCCAGAACTCCATAAATGTCTTCATATTAACAGATTTACAATTTCATTATAGCTTATTTACAAAGCTATCAAAATATTATCCACGCCTACTACATCTATCAAACTTTTCAAAGCCTTTCGTTTTATACTCACTTTCCGCGATTTATGTAGAAACAAGGGAAGTCACTCTACGATACGTTTCAAAATGGAGGACGAAATTCCAGTGTCAGATTAAACAATTTTGTGTTTTATTTTGTCCCAGACTGTAAATAATTTAGCTTTCAACATGTGACTAAGGTCAATAAGTGTCCTAAAATGGATTCCGTCCAACAGTTGATGACATCGTGCGAGCAGGGCGATGTTGATACTGCACAGGCGGTGTTGGACGAGGGTCTTGGAGTCGATACTCCTGACGAAGATGAAAATACTGCTTTAATGGTCGCTGCAGGAAATGGACATGACCAGGTAGGAAAAATACTGTCATGTAGGGAGTGTAATAAATTCCAATAGAGATTTAATGATGGCTATCTTTAAGTAAAAATGCACAGACACTGGATTTGTGTGTGGGTTGGGGGGGGGGGGGGCAGTGGGTCACTCAAGTTTTGTTTAAAACTCATTCCTCAGTGTTGCATCTAGGCCACGGGATTGTGCGATTTGCGCATATTTAATGTACATCGCGCATTTTAATGAAGTCAATGTGCGCCAAGTCGCGCATCTGATGATCTTTTCAACTTAATTCAGTTTATCTTCATTGTATCTTGAACGCTACATCCACGTTTGTTTTCACTCGCGGTTATGACTAAAATACGTACTAAATCGCGTGAAGCAGTCAACTGGGTCATCTTGCATGTGTTTTGTAATATTCATCAATATTTTATTTTTTCTATTTCCGTTTTTGAGCGGATGATAGCTGTCAAAAATGCCTGAACGTAAAATAAATGAATTCTTTTCAGTACGTCATATTGTAAGGTAAATATTTGTCCCCCACATTTTTTTCAAATCCCCCATATTCTTGAATTGAGTGGGGGACAATCCCCCATAATTTTGAAATTCTAGATGCAACACCTGACCGATTTCTTCATGTCTTGTCAAAATATAACTCTACTTGATATAAATCAGAAAAGTCACTTTCCTCCCTTTTTCTTGCTTTGTTTAATTGAACACTGGATTAGAATTTCAGAGGTTTGTAACAGGGTTTTCATTTATATTAACAGACTGGTGATCAATATCATCGATTGAAATGCTGTTAAAATCACTTGTAGATAAAAATATTACCTTGAAAATTGGCCAAGTCGGTTGATTTTGTTAGCACATCTGTTGCCTCAGGTAAAAATGAAGACCCTTTCTGAGTTTCTGTAAGCTTTGATAACAGGAAAAACATAGTTGTCATTCTGTGTTTGTGATATGTAATTTTAAAACATGTTTGCATTCAATACACCATGATATCGGTTTATTACACATGTATTCATATGTACAAGCAATTGAATTTGATAAATCATCAATATTCAGCTTTTGATACAACACTTAATATGAAAGGGCAATGCGTACGAACAGGGAATTCAGATAAAAAAAAATTGTTCATTTTTATTTTACAATTTAGTAACGTTTTTAAGGTGTCATTCGATATTTCATGCATTGTTTCCGTTTCCAATCTAAAAACCTCTTTGATTATTATTAGGCAGTTTTATGTATTGAACTGTATCAGACAAGTAATTATTAATATTATTTGTGTCCTTGATTTATTCCAAGCATCATTCAACTTTTCATTCTTTTAGCCCTTTTGTCCCAAAAATGTGTTGTTTAGGAGCAACACAGCAAAATACTGACAGCCATCGGTATTCAACACAGCAAAATACTGACAGCCAACGGTATTAGGAATTTTACAAAGGTTGAGCCACTGAGGTTAAATTCCTCAAAATTAAAACAAACAACAAATTGTTTCACATTTAAATAATAAGAATTCTGCATTCCAGCTAATTCAGTAATCATTTACATCAAGGACACTTATGTCAAGATTTTCAAATACATCTGTAGCTCATTTGTCACATGTGTAAAATAGCAGAACTGAACTGCCCCTTCTTTTAGGACTAATTGGAGAAGAATCAAAGCATAATATAAACATTTCTTTCAGGTGGTAAGATTATTACTTATGAGAGGGGCATCAGTAGACAAGACTAACTTATATGGGTGGACCCCTGTAATGCAGGCAGCAAGGCATGGGCACGCTAACATTGTGTCTTTATTGCTGCAACATCCAGTCGACATTAATGCTACAAACAGTTTTGGTGCTTCAGCTCTTATGCTAGCAGCTCGTGGAGGACATCTACAGGTGGCTAAACTCCTGGTGGAGGCTGGGATAGATATCAACGGGTCAAGTCAGTGCGAGTATACGCCCCTTATGACAGCAGCTCAACAGGGGCATGATGCTGTGCTGAGATTGTTGCTTGACCGAGGCAGTGACGTGAATTACCGCACACCCTCAACCGGAGTAACGCCCCTCATGTTGGCCTCGTTGAATGGTCACATGACTACTGCCCAGATTCTTATTGAGAGAGGTGGCGACCCAAATATAATAAATGGGTTAGATCATACTGCACTAACAATAGCTGCAATAAGAGGAAAGCGGGAAGTGCGGGGATTTTTGGAAAGGAAAACAACTAACAAACCTATCATAGGTAAGCATACAGTCTGGCACCTACTATGCATTTAGAAGTAGAATTTTCCTTTATACATGTAATAAACTTATGTTTTACAGTCTATTAACATTGTTGGATTATGAATTCTTAAGCATTTCAAATTTACAATTTCATTAAGGGCTTTGTTATGTGGAATATGTGTAAGTGTATTGAGTGCCCTACTTGGGTTAGAACTGAATAATCTTTCGTTTCTTTGGTTTGTATAGAAATGCTACACATATACAATAACAATTGGCATGGAATTAAAGCTGCATGCCTCCAGATTTATGCTAATTTTCAAGAAAATTTTGAAAATGAAATTAAATGTATAATATTGCATAGTTACCAAAAAGAAACAATTTACACTTACAACCCACGTTTAATACAATATGCCAAAAATGCCCTTACTGTGTTAGTAATGCAGTAGAAATATAGTTACACATAATGCAAAATTCACCATAAATCACTCATATATAAACATGTAAATTATTACTTGACTACTTTTCATAAAGTCTTAGTACATTTTTCACAAGTTTGATTTATTGAAATATTTTTGCTGATCTGGAGGCATGCTGCTTTAAATACTCGTATCTAAAAATTAGTTTTTGTGTACTGTTTAATGTGTTTGTCTCTATTTATACCAAGGGATCATCATCATGGATTCAACTGTTACAGAAGTTGTTTTAGTGTTACAATGTATAATAGACATTTTGATATACTCATCTAAATAATCTAAATCTTTTTATTTTGCTATACATGACTGTACTTTTTCATGCCATATTGAAATATCCTGAATTTATACTTGTAAACAACAATTTGATCCTGAAATTGTTTTCAAATGTCATATAAATCAATAAGTGTTTACTAGTTGTTTAATATGATATATTGAATATATTTATATGGCTAGTTCGGTTGATGACATATCTAGAATCTTAACTGACTAATATCTGGCACCAGGTGACAATATACACTGTAATTTGGATATTTGATCCATAGGCTTTTATAAAATTTATGAATGGAAATAAAAATATTGTTTAAATAAAATACAGCCTTGTCATATTCTTATAATAATTTTGAATGGAGAGAATTGCATTGTGGGAAATACAAAAGTGTATAACCATAAGGCTGTCTGTGCAATAGATTCTCTTTATAAGTTTACTTGGCTGTACTTCTATTTATTGACATGCTTTTGTTTGAATCAGTGGATTTCAGTAATAATTATATAAAAATATTTTGAAGCGAAACTTCGCATCAGTAGTCTAGCTTACCCTTAACATTAACATTTGGCATAAGCTTGCTTTTTAAGTTGTCTGTAAGTCTTCAAAACGACCAGTCTGCATAGCTGAGTAGGTTAGAGCACAAGGCTTGTAATCTCTACATTGTTGGTTTGATTCCCAGGCTGGCCAACTAAAAATAACTTATCAGTCTTTCGGATGAGTCATTTTAAATTGTGGTCCCATGTATGAATGCTTAAATACTTGGCATGCTAGAAAACCAGGAGAAGCTTCTGGAATTGGGGTATATCTTTCTGTATCTGTACCTTGCACTATCCTTGAAAATCTAAAATGACTAATACTCTTCTGGAGGACTCGCTCATATGGGCAACAGGTGGCTACTCCTAGTATATGTAAGCTGAAATACACACACTAGACTTCAAAGAAGTCCTAACATAAGATTTGCATTGTATGGTAGCTTAAAGATACTTTTTTTCATTCATTGTAGTTATTTATGATTTTATTTTCAGAGCCTGAAGACAGAAAACCTGATATAATTGATGCAGCTAAAAGAGGTTTGTAGCAATATTTTAAGTCAGTAAGAATATAACATGCATTCATAGAACCCCAAATTTATGTAATGGTTATGGGGCCTTGACTTCTAAAAGCTTGTCTGCCCAATAACTTAAGATTCCTTTGACCCACAGTCTTCATATTTGGTATTTAGATTGATCATGGTTAGAAGATGATCCCTATTGATTTTGAGGTCACTGGGTCAAAGGTCAAGGTCACAGGGGCCTTGACTTCAAAAAGCTTGTCCGCCCAATAACTTAAGATTCCTTTGACCCACAGTCTTCATATTTGGTATTTAGATTGGTCATGGTAAGTAAATGATCCCTATTGATTTTGAGGTCACTGGGTCAAAGGTCAAGGTCACAGGGGCCTTGAATTCAAAAAGCTTGTCTGCCCAATAACTTAAGATTCCTTTGACCTATAGTCTTCATATTTTGTATTTAGATTGGTCATGGTTAGTAGATGATCCCTATTGATTTTGATGTCACTGGGTCAAAGGTCAAGGTCACAGGGGCCTTGACTTATAAAAGCTTGTCCGCCCAATAACTTAAGATTCCTTTGACCCACAGTCTTCATATTTGGTATTTAGATTGATCATGGTTAGTAAATGATCCCTATTGATTTTGGGGTCACTGGGTCAAAGGTCAAGGTCACAGGGGCCTTGAATTCAAAAAAGCTTGTCCGCCCAATAACTTAAGATTCCTTTGACCCACAGTCTTCATATTTTGTATTTAGATTGGTCATGGTTAGTAGATGATCCCCATTGATTTTGAGGTCACTGGGTCGAAGGTCAAGGTCACAGGGGCCTTGACTTCTAAAAGCTTGTCCGCCCAATAACTTAAGATTCCTTTGACCCACAGTCTTCATATTTGGTGTTTAGATTGGTCATGGTTAGTAGATGATCCCTATTGATTTTGAGGTCACAGGGTCAAAGGTCAATGTCACAGGGCCTTGAACTTCAAAAAGCTTGTCCGCCCAATAACTTAAGATTCCTTTGACCCACAGTGTTCATATTTGTATTTAGATTGGTCATGACTAGTAGATGATCCCTATTGATTTTGAGGTCTCTGGGTCAAAGGTCAAGGTCACAGGGGCCTTGACTTCAAAAAGCTTGTCTGCCCAATAACTTAAGATTACTTTGACCCACAGTGTTCATATTTGGTATTTAGATTGGTCATGGTTAGTAGATGATCCCTATTGATTTTGAGGTCACTGGGTCAAAGGTCAAGGTAACAGGGGCCTTGACTTCTAAAAGCTTGTCCGCCCAATAACTTAAGATTCCTTTGACCCACAGTCTTGATAATTGGTATTTAGATTGATCATGGTTAGTGGATGATCCCTATTGATTTTGAGGTCACTGGGTCAAAGGTCAAGGTCACATGGGCCTTGACTAAAAAAAAGCTTGTCGCTCAAATGCTTAAGAATGCTTTGCGTCAACATTCTTCATATTTAGTATTGAGGTTATTTATGACTAGTAGAAGACCCCTTTTGATTTTAAGGTGACTATGTCAAAAGTCAAGGTCACAGGGATTTTAATATAATAAGCTTGTCTGCTCAAATGCTTAAGAATGCCTGTCCACAGTGTATTGATTTTTACATTTTAAGCATGTAGAATACATAACTTAGCAATGCACTGGCTTAGTTAGCTCAGATTTGGCAGGGAGGTTGTCCTTGAGCTTTAAATGGCCACTGTTGATTCTGACAAAGTGGTATGCGGAGGTATTCACGCCTTGGCAGTGGCAGTTCTAGTTTATTCTATGTTTCTTTTTTTGTGAAAGAAAAAGGCTGGTCTCCAAATATTTCAAAGACAAAAAAACATTGGGTATCTTTAATTAAGATAAAAGAGTTTTAAAAATTTCAAGTATTGTATCATTCAATCTATTCATTTTCATATCATTTAATGTAGCAATTATAATATATAACAGGTGATATACAACGTATACGTGATATACTAGATATCGACGTCAGTCAGCGTGACACATGTTCTCCACAAGATGGCGCCACACCTCTCATGTTTGCTGCGATGACAGGGCGAATTGATATAGCACAGTTATTGTTCGAGCGAGGTTGTGATATAAATAAGCAGGATACGATCAGTGGGTGGACGGCACTAATGCAGGCAACTTATCATGGGTAAACAGGGTGTCCGTTTGACCCTTGAAATGACTCTTTGACCCTTCAAATTTCCAAAATGCCTTGTTTGACCCTCAGGATTTTAACTGGAGGGTCAAATTTTGTTAAAATCATGAGGATTTGGCCTTGTAGTTGGCAAAATGACCCTCAGGATTTCATGGTTAGTGAACACCCTGGGTAAAATTTTAAATAAACATTCTGATTCTTAAAACATTTCTAGTTATAGAATCCTGTTAAAGGGATACTCAGGCAAATTTATGGCAAAAATATCAAAATTATCTTATGTACTTGAATCATGCTAAAATGACATTTGTAAAAGTCCCAGCATGAATTTCTGTATAAATTTTATATATTTTGGGTTTGAAGCGTAAAAATATCTATATATGTTGAACAAAATTTAGACGTCGACAGAATCACCGAGTAGTTTTAAAACTAGTAATGTGACTTGAACAAACCGTGGAAGTTACAATAATAGATATTGTGGATGTAGTATGATTGAAACAAACCTAAATCTTTCATTTAGCATGTTCTTAAACGTTTCCAGATACATGTAATTACCGTGACAATTATTGTGAAATCTTAATGCTTAATGAAACCATTATATTATTCTTTATCAGGAGAAAAGTTTTGTTCATGCGAAGGCCTAGTGTATTCATGTTGAGGACATTTACAGATAAATGAATGAAAAGTTCAAAACGTAGAAATGAAAATTTTGTATCCCTCTGTGATTAAAACACAAAATCACCTGTTTACAAACAAAATGAATGGAGATATATGCACTTTTCTGATACGTTGAAATTAGACCAGAGTTCCTGTTACTAGGAAACTTAATGTTAGGAATTGCTAATCTGGTGCAAATTTGTAACCTATACCGTTTTATCATTCCATTGTTTATTTGCTTGGTTATCATTGGCTATAGCCCCACCAAACACCAGGTATTACTACACCTATCTCGTGTAAATTAAATCCTGAACTGCTGCCATTTTTAGCTTGAAATTTGAAGAATAGGGAAAAATATTTGCACTCAGGTTGGTGTTGGAGGCTGTCTGTGTCACACTTTTGTTAAGTTTTATCGTGGAAGTTGGTACATGTGTATCTCCAAAACTACTAAACTTGATTTGACTATTTGACTTGACTCAAAAGAAATTGGTTGAAACTTTACATGGCCCCTTGTGTTCTGTGGTTATCTAACATGGTGAGTGTAGACCTTATTACTCTTAAAATACCTTTTTACAGCATTATGCCCCTTTTCTTTATATCATTCACTGAGAATATTTAAGCACACTGCTTTACGGACAACTCTTGTTTGAGTTCCGGCATGCGCAATGAGCATTGTGGTTTAAGGTTTAATGCACTTTACCAGTATGCCCTCATTTCTTATGTTGGTAAAGAGCATTCTACCCAAAAACTCAATGATGGCCTGATGCAATTGTAAGGGGATGTTTTTATTGTAATCAAGGTACATTAAACAAAACAAAATACCAAATATTTAAATGTCACTATCAATTTTACCACTAATCTTAAAATATACTTCAGTATTGACAAATTTTTGGATATTTTTTCAAGATAAGTACATTATCTTCATGTTAAGATAAGTTTTATTGTTGCTAGACTATGTGATCTAAGTTAGAGTGACAATATAAATTTGAATCATGCATTTGTTAAGTCATAAAATTTGGAATTTTGTTTGCAAAATAACATCATTAAATGTACTGTATGTGCATGCATTTACATTATGAAAGACTTTTATGTTGTCCGGATATTTAATGTTAAGTCTAGGTAAAGAAATTAAAGGTGATAGAGATATTTGATTGTGTTTACATTATTTGTTTAAAACAAACTTATAATTTAGATGAAGTTTCACTAATCAAATATAAACATACACCTAAAGACTGCATTTTGTGGAGCAGACATTTCATAGTAAAGTTAGAATTATTTTGTATAATTGACAATTTTATCCTATGATAATTATTTGCTGGATTTAAAGTTTTATTGTTTATAATGGAATATATAATTTTTTTACAGGAAGAAATCTGTGGCAATTTTTCTGATCAATGTGGGTGCGGATGTGACTACGCAAGCAAAAAACGGCTGCACCGCGTTTGATATGGCGTCATTGATAGGTATGAATAAACAATACAATTTGATAGGAAAAAAAAGAAAGAAATATTTGCAAATTAAGACTAGATTATTAATAGGAAATAGGCATTATACAGGTACTTACGTGATGTTTTCAGCCTCTGTGTCAAAGCAACTGTTTACTTACCTGTTTTGTGAGTGGGAGTCCTGAAATGGTAAAATGTTAGCTATTTTAGTTCAAGGTAACCAGCTAAATAGCTTGTTTAGTTCAAGGTAACCAGCTAAACAGAAAGCTAAGTTTAATGTTACCAGCTAAATAGCTAGTATAGTTTAAGGTAACCAGCTAAATAGCTAGTTTAGTTCAAGATAACCAACTAAACAGTAAGCTAAGTTTAAGGTAACCAGCTAAATAGCTAGTTTAGTTTAAGATAACCAGCTAATTAGTTTGTAGCTTAGCTTAATTAAGGTAACTGGCTAAATTGGTTGTTCTTTAATTGTGTAACCAACATAACTGCATATGTTAAACATTATTACAGATTTATACTAAGGGTCTATTTTAGAAAGATCTGGTGAATAACTGATAATTATGATATTGTTAAAGATTGAACTTGATTAAAAAAAGTGTATTAATCTCAAAGGCAAGGTAAAAGTTGTTTCCAGAATATTTTTTGAAGAAATAAGAATCATTTGTTGGTTAGAAGTTTAGAAATTACTTCAGTCTTGTTTAATCATGAACTGTTTATTTTATTTTTTACAGAGGATGCAGATACAGAGTTACTACGGTTACTGGCAACTCGGGCCATGCATGTTGATAAAGGAGAAAAACCAAAGACCAAAAACATAATTTGGTCGAAACAAAATGGAACATCAACGTCTCTTTCACTGTCTCCAGAGCAGCTGTAAGTCAATACCGACTACACTTCGTTTTTTTTTTTTTTTTTGCGGGGTGGGGTGGGTGGGGTTGAGTATTATTTAAATTTCAAAAAAAATTACCATAATTGCTAGATGCTTAATGATATAGCTCTAATTTGCTAGGATTGTAATGCCTAGGATTTGATTTTCACTCGTAGTTTATTACAAAGACAAATAAATGCAAACAGAATGGGCATAGGGTCATACTTTAGGTGGTCCTCCTAACTTTGTATGGAGTTTGGGTCAAGGGTTGTGCTTCTGTATTTTTGATAAACATCTTATGCCATGCTGAATATTTTTCAAATTCATTATTTACAGATGACATGCCAATTTAAATTCAATTTTTGACAAAATCAAAAGGTCATGACTCTTTCAGTTACATGTAACTGTATTAACATTTCTTTCCTTCCATAATTTAATTGATAAACCTTTTTTAAAAAAATGTGGTTGCTGTTATTAATCTGGGCCGAGGGCATGTGTTAACCAATCATGTTCTTGTTTGAAAGTTAATTTGGCTAAATTTCAACAATTACAATGAACAGTTCAAAGTCTAATATTGAATTTTAGCATGGTAAAAATTAAAATGTAACACTAATTATAACACAATTACAAATGTGTTTTCAGGCTAGATGATCAACCAAAAAGTGGCTTAAAGGTGATTGTAGCTATATTTTATACTATATTTTCATAAATACAATTGTTTATTCTACATTTAAATAAGCTAAGAAAAAAAAGTTTAAAATGCAATTCTCTTGAATTTCTCTTGAATCTCAATACATTTATGTTTACTATTAAGATTTTAAGTGACATTTAATACCATCAAAGTTAAAGGATTTTTTAAAAATATTTATGGTGTAGAAGTAAAACAAAGGTTAATACATGTATATTTATTTTTGTGTGATAGAGATGTAAGGGCTTAGTGTTCATTGCTATTTGAGTATCAATGGCACTCTGACCTTTAGTCCACATCTTAGTTAAGTTACTGTTTTACTATCAAGCACTAAAAAAGAGCCGAACAAGCTTTCTGTTAGGCAGTTTTTGTTAAATGACCCTGGTTTCAATACAACTTTTTAGGTATAAAACAAAACGTTCAGTTTTAGTAAAAATGAGACATAATTTTTTTTATAGGGCTGGTTAAACAGGCTATCGAACCGGTTTAGGAACCTGAAAATCGGTAGGACATTTAATACTAACAATCGACTGATGCCACTAACTGCAGATGGTCAATCTGACAGTATACAAGATCTGACGTCATTAAAACAATCTCACAGTAGTCCTCAACTAGTAAGTATATTTTGTACTTGTCACATAAAAGTGCTCAGCTTGTACGCATGTGAGGTATTGATTTTATCTGTATATGACAGTGGTAAATGATGCAGTATGGAGAGTTTTCACATATAAAGATTTCAGCTTGTATGTGTGTTTAGTATGTGTCTTTTCTGTATGTTACACATTTGTTATGTAACAGTTAAAGTGACGTTATGCCCATCTAAGGGTATACATGTACATGTATAGTGAGTGAAAGTAAAAATAAATATTTTTAATTTTGCAATAATTCCTGTCTATTTGATTATAATTTGCTTCGCATGAATGATTAATAACTTGCATGGCCAAGGAAAAATATCGATAAATATCTGTCAGAAATAATGTGTGATGTTCAATTTATACAAAGAGTGGGGAAGTCTTTTTGTATTTTAGGCAAATCCATATTTACCTTAAACCTTTTCCAATATCAACTGTAAATCATCATTATAACAGTCAATCTTTTGAAATATTTGGTCAATTCAGCTCAACATGACAGTAAAAAATGTGCATAATGTCACTTTAATTACTTACTTCTACAAGATAAGTTAATGAATATTTGATTTCACAAACATTAAATTATACATGTACAGTATAAAAATTTCTCATTAAATTTCTAGTATTATATAATATAATTATGTGCATTTTATCTGTGAATTCATACATGTACAAAGTGAACATATTTTTTTAGAACAGATGTTTGAGTTAGTTTTCTCTCGCCAACGGAAATAGACTAGTGTAATATTGTTTATATTTCAGTCTCCAAAGAAGAATAATTTTGTAATGGAGCCTGTGACACAGTCTATGACGAGCTACGAGACTATGAAACAGGAGACAAAGAAAAGTGCCGCTTTATATACCCTTGTATGTATCTTATATTTCTTATACATCAATAACTGTTGTAACTGGCATTTATCTAGGATCCTGTATGACTTTTAACCATCATCTCAATAAATTTAAAGATAAACTATACTCGTCCTTGAGTAAAATATTTAAATCACAGAAATTTATTAAAATCTATGAAATTTTAGTGAATATGTCTAATTTGAATAAAATAATTCATAAAACTATGTATGGGAAACTGCGTTTTCTTTTACAGGTCAAGTAAAGTTGGCCATTTCTTTAATAAACTGCCAGTTTTTTTAATGACACTATATATTTATATTGTGACCACCTATAATGTGTAACAAATATATTTTGTGTGAAGCCAAAAAAATGTTTATTTTATATTTACAAAAAGACTGTGAGGCAATTATCAATATTTTGTAACATCATTTGAGCATAGTATATTTCTAATGAGAAATATTAATATTTTTTATCAGTAAGGTTATTTTTAGGTATATTTGGCAAGAACATTTACATTTATGTCCAATACCTTCAATGTCTACAAATCAAAAAATTGAAAATCAGTTAGATTAATCATATGTCATCGGGGTCATCGAGGTTTTCAAAGAGCACATAAGCTTAAGAACTTCTGTAAAACTGCATTAGCTAACTTCACATGATATTTGATATATTTTAGAATCATCTTGCAATACTGTCTATAAATATGCCCTCATCGTAGCATCTTAGTTGGACCGTAATTGCTATTAAGCAGTGAAATGATGCAGAGCTGTCATTGGTAGAAACAATGATGTAGCGTTGATATATTTTTATCGATCAATTATCAAAATAGATTTAAAAAAATAGATAATTTTGACTTATTGATAAAATATCTAAAACCTATGAAAATTCACGCAAAACATTAACAGAAGCAGGTGCCCAATGAAATACATGTACATAACATGTCTAAAAATATGCTGTTGTTATCTAACGGATAATTTCTATAGAAGTGATGACAAACAGGCAGAAGCAAAGTCATGCAATTGGCGTTTATAAAGATATACATCATTATTGTATGAAAGGAACATTTATTTCACTAAAAACTTTTTAAGTGGGTATAAATGTAAATTATAGACAAGTTTTTTGAATTACAGTATTTGTAATAATTGTTATATTGGTGAATTTGGTGTATTGCCGATATTTGTCATCTGATGTCATTATATTGTTGCTTTGCACAGAATCAATGATTTAAATATTGGGAGGTCGTATCAGTAGAATATCATTTGTAACTGATACTTATCATATATATATTTTTTTCAGGACATCAACCCTCCTCATTCCAACATGACAACAAGTGACACATTGAAGCCAGTAATTCCGCCATTTCTACCACCACCATCATTTGACCTGGACAGCCCGTCACGACCTTGGAGAGGTCTTGGTGGCCGATCTAAGACCACTATGACTGGCATTGATAGTAACAGTACTCTTGTAAGTGTACAAGGGTTCAAATCCCGACAGGGATTTCAATTTCTATCATGTGAGGAAGCTATCCAGCTAGATTACAGAATGTCAGTGGTTCTACTTGTGTCTGAAATAATGCATGGAAGGGCATCTGAGGTCTTCCTCCACCAGTAGAGATGGAACTTCGCCATATGGCCTATACTGTGTCGATGTGACGTAAAAGCCAATTAAACAAATAAATAAACAAATCCTGAATGTCTTTCACTCATATACAGAAATGTTTTGTTTAGTTTAGTTTAAACATATTTATTGCAGCTTGATTGTGAGCCTTTTTGAGGCCACTTCTTGGAACTAACCAATATATATGTCATATAAGGATTCATGGTCCTGACCTGAGTTGGGCTTGAACCCATGATCTCTGGGTTGAGAGACAGACACCTGAACTACTAGGCCACCACTCCCCTTTATTACGCTTATAAATGTTTTGATTTTATTTTGGGGTTTAATACTCTTATTATTTTGTTCTCTGTTTCTTTTGTTAATATTTAGAGATTTCATTTAGAGTTTGTAGAAATATGCTTTATACAGCTTCTGATACCTTAATAAAATGTTATTTGGATCAATGTTTAATGACACATAATTCAATTAAACAAAGAAGTATCATTTGAAAGTTTTATGACTTCTGATGTTTATGAATAATTAGCAATTCAGAACAAAAAAACTTATTTCAACTTGATTTACAATCAGAATCTTGAACTTTTAATGAATATGCTTTTAAAAATCAAATCTTGTCATTTCAGAGTTCTGGTCATGAGCGGCCTATTTTACGTCCTATGAAGTTTTTACAGAATCACAGTAGTTATACTAGTCAAATATCTCCCACAAATTCTGCTAGATTTACACAGAATGGTAGTAACCCAAGTCCTAACTCCTCAGGTAATATTACTGTTTTAATTACTTTTTAACGATTTTTGAAAATAAAAAGTGCTAAAGGAACTCCCTCAACTGAGGTCTAAAAGCCTAAAAATATAAAAATTGGATTTGTGACATAGACCAGCTGGGGCACTTAAAACAGAAAGATATGGAAAATGATAATTAAGAAATATACTCAGAAATAAATTGAAAATAGCATATTTGTGCAATTCTTAATGTGTTATGTGTTAAAAGCATTGCAACGCTTTTCAATTTTGTTGGAAAAAAAAAAAGGAGTATGAAAGTTTCAGTATCATTTTTGAATTAACAACAGATTTTCACGCATGAAATATTTGATGTACATTGTATATTAATTAAAGGTGATTACCAGGGTACCGGGCTGTTCCTTCCACCATCATCATCATCCACATCATATACATCAGAGAGAAATCAAATGTTCTCGTCCTTATCTCAAACTCCTTCTAGACTCTTCATGCCAAGGTGAGTTTATATATTCTGCATACCCTTGTGAACATTTTGGTATATAAAACTTACTGTTCCTAGACATAGACTGGTTGACCCCAAAAATATGCATGATTTACTGGTTCATTTCCTACACTATTTTACTCTTTGTATTATCCTGATGAAGGTCATTGTTTGACCGGAACAGATTGATAAATAACGTAACATAAACATACACAGTGTTCTTGACATGTTGTTCTACATCCCTATCTTGTTTACATATAGTATCTTTCAAGATATCAGGCATCAAAAAATATTTTTAGAGTCACTCGTCCTGTGTCCTGCAGGAAGAGTAGCATCAAAATCCAATATGCTGGCAGCATTTTTTCTACTCATTCAGGCATTGAAAAATGTTTTCAGAGTTACTTATTCTGCAGGATGAGTAGATGCAGGCAAATTTTTCTTCTCCTCCTGCATCAAGTTCTCTCATAATTACAAGCGGACGAATGGAATTTTCATTCTCCAGACACATGTATTTTAACTTTAAATAATACAACAAATATCAACAGAACATTTTCTAGCCAACAAAGCTTTTCATATAAAGAAGCTAGATATGTAGATATGTCGCTCAGTAGTTTACAATAGTGCGTGACGTCTATTAGTAGTGTGCAACTTCTATTTAGTATTCGTGGATTACTTGTAGGAGACCTACAGTTCCATCAGCATTTCGTAACATGTCAAATACAACATCCCCGAACAGTTCAACAAGCGGTGCTAGTGGCACAAGTGGTAGCTCCTCGGTCACTCCAATACGATCCTCACGAGGGCGGAGCACCTCTTCAAAGGGAAGTACAACTTCCACACTTACACCTTCACCATCTCCTACTCCTGGAAAGGTAGGTTGAAGTTTGATTTAGAGCATCAAGTTAAATTTTTCATTTTGCATTTCACTGGAAAAAAAATTATAGGAAATAATGTTTTATGATTTTATGTTAGTGTATTTTGTATGTACTGTTTACTTAAGTACTTTTGTAATTTCAAGCTTTTATCAAAAAAGTATTAAAAGCATTACTAAAAATTAATTAATAATCACGTCATGAGTGTAAAATACCTATAATGTTTTAATTAGCCTAAATTATTACTATATTAAAACAAATAATGGATATATGCAACTTATGTTTTGAATTTCTAATTTTGTCCATGAAATATCTTATGAAATAAAATA